TCGAGTCGAAGTCTTGCTCGACTCGAACATCGAGCCCATCCCTAGTGTTTAGTAATTTAAAGATTTTTGACCAAAAATGGTAGCAAAAGGGGCACTTCCACCAAGTATGAATCATGTCACCCGGTACTTTGCACCCATGAAAGCAACAGCCCAGAAATGCTGCATTCATGTGTGCAATACGGGAAGGCACCATGTACCATCTCATGATTACTTTATAAGCCACTTCCACATTTGTAATATTAAGAGAACAACTAGCTATGTTACACCACATATGTTTCCAATCTTCCTCTGTCCATGAAGCCCCCAGTTCACTTTCCCATTTCCAGACATAGAAATGAAAATATGGCTCGACAGTTTATTTAGTTTGGAGTTTAAAAACGTAACTAGTCCAGGCCCTTCTGGAGTGTATAGACAGAGATGCTCAAAGCACATGACGGGTTGTTTCGGATCCTGGTAACCAGGGACGCTGATCTCTCTGCAAGTGGCGGGGCCCAGCCGTAAGATGACGGCTGGCTCCGCCCTGTCGGCTGGCCAATGGCCAGCCGCTCGGCCAGCTTCGGCTTTCACCTCGGCTCAGCCGCTCGGCCAAGTTCGGGAGCTGTACGGGCTATAGTGAATAGCCCGTACAGCAGCCCTTCGGTTCTACTGAACAGAAGGGGTCCGAGGCCGAAGCTAGCCGAAGGATCAGACAAAACGTTTTCTTTAACTCTTGGCGCTAATGGCTACCAGCTGAACAATCCACTTGCTGTTGCACACTGAAAGTTTTCAACAGTTTATCACTGTTTTTCACACAGACTTGAGGGGCTGCTCATCCAATGCTCTGTGGCTTCCACCACGAACATAGAAAACAAAAGGGAACAGAGTGCCACCTCCGGGTGTAAAATCGTTTATTACAATAAAACAAGGGATAAAAGTACTCACAAACAAACGTTTTCATCAGGCTTTAACAACAAACGAGAGGCCACACTGTCTGTTGACCCAACATGGTATCGCCCCGACTATGTAACATGGTAGCCTCTGGTCACATCACCATCCACCGACCGCAGTCAGCCAAGATTGACTCGTTTCAGGGGCAAGGTCCCTTCATCAGAATCAAGATTGATGCGTTTCAGGGGGCAAGCCCCCTTCGTCAGAATCATGATTCTGATGAAGGGGGCTTGCCCCTGAAACGCGTCAATTTTGGCTGACTGCGGTCGGTGGGCGGTGATGTGACCGGAGGCTACCGTGTTACATAGTCGGGGCGATACCATGTTGGGTTAACAGACAGTGTGGCCTTTAGTTTGTTGTTAAAGCCTTATGAAAATGTTTGTTTGCGAGTACTTTTATCCCTTGTTTTATTTATTGTAATAAAAGATTTTACACACAGAGGTGGCGCTCTGTTCCCTTTTGTTTTCTATAGCCGAAGGATCAGCCGAAGCTATGGCTAGATCCTTAGGCAGCTTAGTGAATAGAACCCATAGAAAAAAATCTAAGCAATGGTGCACATGTGAATGCCTCTGGGATGCTCCAGATAAGAGGCAGTGGCCAGAGAAGAATGTTGGGGGGGCTTCTCATTGTCTGGTGCTGGAGAGTGAAGGAAAAAAACAGAACGTGGAGCTGCCCTGCACCATCTGATTGGCTGAGCCGAGCGGGCGTGTTCACTGCAGTGAGACAGTATGAGACTTGGAAGAGTGGATGGAGCTACAAGGTGTACTCGAGAGTTGCTCTCGCAGAGTGAGGGGGCAGCTCCAGGCTCGGCTCAGGGTCAGTGTGGGAGCAGCATGAGGGTCCCAGATCATAACAACCGGTGGAGTGCAAGGAAGACGCTGGTCGCGGCTGTGCCCTAGGCAGCAATGTGCTCTAGGCGGCTGCCTAGTTTGCCTAGTGGCAGCGCTGGCCCTAGGGGTAGGTGAGGTATAGTGTTTAGTAAAAGTGTTTAAAGACTACACAAGTACTCACTAGAATATTTTGGGGACTTTTTTTCAGTTAAATAAATACACTGTTCTGTCAATTTTCTTATTAAAAGCTAGCTGGTGTGGGTCCGGTTGGCAAAGTGAGCCTAGTCAAAGTTTGTAAAGACTATGTACTACTACAATATTCTGGGGGACTTTTTCAGTGAAGTAAATACTCTTTAAGTTGTTCCTTCTTTTGGGTACCATTGAAAAAGTGGCATTTTCAAAGAGATTGATTGACTAAAGGCAAATAGGCTGTTCACTTTGCAAGGGGATTTAGTGAATGAGGTGGTGCTCTGCTTGCTTTCACCCTCCTATCATGTGCAAGCAAAAATAAAAAAAAAATTATTTTTTTCCTTGGACATGATTCAGTATTCCCTTGCAGAAGAAATTTTTTAAGCAACAGGAGAATTCTTTATATATATATATATATATATATATATATATACACACACACACACACATTAACATAGCACCATCAATTTAGTTAGCGCTGTACATACTGCTCATTCACATCTGTCCCTGCCCTCAGAGAGTTTGCAATCTAAGGTTCCTATCTCATATGTATACACAGACATACTGGGGCCAGTTTAGACATGAGTCAGCATGTCTTTGGATTGTGGGAGGAAACCCACACAAGCACTGGGAGGACATTAGATTTTGTTTTGTTCCAAATGGATATTTGTTTGAATTTCATTAAATTTGGACATGTGGATGCATCCGAAGTTCCGAATTCGAACGCATCCGAATGTTCCTTTAAGGAAAATTCAGATCTGTCCGAATCTTGTTCAAAACGAAACTTAAACGGACATGTGACTGTTCTCTGGCCATTCAGATGTTTTTTTTTGGCTGTTTGGAGATGCATTACAGGCATGGCCATATGACTTCCTGTTGTGGATCTTTCAGAAACGAAAATTCAGACAGAGACGAAATGCAAATAACGAACCAAATAGAATTTCAGATCCAAAAAATTAAAGAAATAAAAATCTGAATAGATCTGAATTTTTTTGCGGGGTAACATGCAAACTCTATGCCTGGATTTGAACCAGAGACCTCACTACTACAAGGCAGCAGTTGCTAACCACTGAGCTGCTGGATGCTTAGTGCTTGGCAAAAAATAAATGTTGTAACATCCTCCTTTCCTGTGCTTCTGTTTAAAGGCTAAGTTTGCCTTTAAAGGCATGTTTTATGTTTCAGCCTGTAACATGAAACATAGTGACATTGCCACCTTAAGGCCTTGTTCACACCTGTGCGTATTGCATAAGCGCGTCACACGCGCGTTTTCTTCCCGGCGTTTGGCGCGTTTTCATGTGCGTTTTGGAGCGACAACAGAGGTATCCAATGAAGAAGAATTCCTGTTTTTCCGCAAGCGTCCAATGAAAAAGACTTCCTGAGACGCAGCATTTCCCTTTCCTGTATGCAAAAGGCCGTGTGGTGTGTGGAGGATTTTTTGCAGAGAGCAGTTTTGAACGATTTGTTGCATTATGGAGCTGACCAAACGACGAAGGACTGCAGCAGTCGTTGCAGCACTGCGTCTGATAGCGTTGTGGAGAAGGAGGGATAGTAGGCGAAGATTCTGGATACATCCGATAATAGCCAACCGTGAGGAGAGAGGGCAATTTTGGGCTATGTTTCAGACCCTACGTGGACATGAGGATAAGTTCTTCAACTACACCCGCATGTCGATAAAGAGGTTAGTACATAAACAATTGTTAGTGCTTATTGTTGTTCTGTCCCATTCCTTGTATTCTGCATGAAAACATAGCAGACATGCACGCATGTTTCACGGAAATGATGAACACAAGTCTATGCAATCAATGCACGCATGACGCATAACAGTGCATGCCTTCTGCAAGAAAATATTCTACAATGAAACCTTTGCTAATGTACCTTTTGATTCTTTAACTTGCTTTGGGAAGGTTTCCCAATCCGGCCACGTAGCTTCGGCTATGTCCAGCCAGGCACGTTGCCTTATGCGCCTGTTTTTATAATGTGCATGGCGCATGTCATATAGACATGGCCTTCCCTGCACCTGTCATATGAAGGCCTCAGAATCCAGCATGGCACAATCCTCCATCTTTTCTTCTGCAACAGCTCTCTTTCTAGGGGAGTGGTCTGTAGCCATGTGTGGAACGCGCGTTCTATGCGCGATTTCAGTGACCAAAAATGCACAAACATACATTTCGTCCGTTCCCGTCGAAGTCTATGGGCGCGAACAGCTACAAAACGGACCAATACGCAGCAAAAAAGCTCCGGGACCTTTTCATGCGTGGGCCGTTTTGTAGTGCGTTCGGGACGGGTGGAAATACGGACAGGTGGGAACGAGACCATTGAGTGTAATGTTATTTATATTATGGACCGTTTTGTAGAGCGTTCGTCGAGCGTAGAACGCGCTACAAAACGGTCAGGTGTGAACGGGGCCTAAGCATCCCCCACACTTGCCTGTATCCCAGGGTTTTTCTCCCCACCGGCTGCTGTGAATTTTTAAAAACGGTGTGGCCGTACGGGGCACCGCTCACGCAACCACATCATCCACTCACAGATAATTTGACAGACCGTAAATGGAAAAACTACAAGTCCCAACTGCCACTGCAGACGTCACTTCACTTGTGTCACTCATTCTTCCTCCTGTCCCTGTTACTGAATGCTCATACCTTGGTATAAACAAGGGGGAGAGGTAGAATCTGCTGGAGCGAGAGCACTGCTCCCACCAAGCTTTTTTTTTTTTTTTTACAAATGTGTACACTTTTTAAAGTGGGCTTTTCCTTTAATAACATCCCCAAAGTATAGCCAAAGAATTTATCAAAGTGCATGTTTTTTTATCCTTAAAAATACATAACTGAAACTAAAAACACAAAAGCAAGCACACATATGAAAACACAGTAAATGTATCATAACGTATTCTCTGCTATCAGAGAGGATTTCCTTCTCAGTGACGTGTACTGGCAATATAGCATCATTTGGAGCACCTCAGTAGGTGATAGGTTAAACCCGTGTCCCTTCCTGCGGTACCCAGCGCTCATGAAGCCCGGGGCTGCGCATGCGCACAACATACTTTCTGCTTCTCTAAGCACCGTAGGGATGCGCTGACGTTGCAAGACATCCTTCCAGCCTCCCCCCTTAAAACCTCGCTGTGGAGCTAAGAAGAAGACATGAGGATAGAGTAAGTGGGAGCAGGCACAGTCCTCCCTCTTCAGCCACCCACCTATCACCTTTCAGCCTACCCAGCATCCATACCAGTGAGGAGACTGTACCAGGGGAACTCAGTAGAATCAGAAACACCGCGCAGCAATGCAGACATCCATGGAGTTAAAGAAATCCATCTCTGCCACCTTGGAGACAGATAACCCAGTGAAGAGCTATGGAGCAGTGGAGGAAACTGACTGGAAGGCAGGGGGGCTGGGGAGAAGTAAGTAGCGCTTCTTGTATGCACTGCTCTATTTGGAATACACAGGAGCAGCCTAACTGGCCGTTCTGTTTGTTCAGCAATAGCTCTGCAATGACTTGTTCTGAATTCGATGCATTATATGTGCTTTAACTGCACATGTGATATGTGGGCACTTAAGCAGAGGGTGTCTTTCTGGCTAATCAGCTTTGGTATAGTCTGTAGAGATCTTTAGTTATCATTTGTTTGTTATTGATGTCAGGATCCTGAGTACTATAAAGATAGACATTAGAATTTAATTAAGTGTTTACCTTATTTGGGGTAATTGCACACACTGGGGTGAATTTATCAAAACTGCAGCAGACAGAATCTGGAGCAGTTGCCCATGGCAACCAATCAGCTTCTCTCCTCAGTTTGTTCGGTTAAGCTTTGAAAATGAAAGATAGAAGCTGATTGGTTGCCATGGGCAACTGCTGCAGATTCTGTCTGCTGCAGTTTTGATAAATTCACCCCAGTCAATGTGCTTTGTATTGACATGTGTAAATATTATCACGCTGTTTCTAAGGCATAGAGGGGGGAATTTATCAAAACTGGAGCAGACAGAACCTGGAGCAGTTGCCCATGGCAACCAATCAGCATCTCTCTTCAGTTTGCTCAGGTGAAATTTGAAAATGAGAGAGAGAAGCCGATTGGCTGCAGTGCCAATCTGCTCCAGTTTTGATAAATTCCCCCCCGGAGTATTTTAAATGTGGTGTATACAGGCAAGTTACTGTTGCTGACAGCTATTTATGTGTAGAAAACCTGACACATATGTTATCACTGATAACTAGCAGACCTCTAAAAGAGTGGAAAATGATTAAAAGCCATGCCCATTAAATCAAATAATTTTATTTTCTAATAATTTATAAAATGTATCTTCATGTTTAAATGTTTATTAGTTTTAGGCTGGACTAATATAACATCACTAATAAATAGTGGACTTCTAAATAGTGGAAAATTATTTAAACCAACCCTATCAATTATTTTTTTTTAATGAATTTATAAAATGTTTATTAGTTTTTACATTATAATTATTTTTATTTTAACATTTATATATAAAATAAATATGACAAAAAATATTTTAGTTAAATATTAAATTCTATGCATTTTTTTCTTTTTAGGCTAAACAATGGCATTGGTGTGTTTATTTAAATTAAACTATTATATTATTGATTAGAATGGGGTTTATGGCCAATGTAAGGTAAAATCTTTTTTGCTTCAGATATTGGCCATTATTTTGTTTTTTTTTTGTTTGTTTTTTAGATTTGTTTGAAATTGGTTTATTGTAATGCAATGCTAAAACAAAGTTTTCAAGCCAGGTCTGATCACAGCATTTCTCATATGTGTGAGAAATGCAGTGCTTTAGAATTAAATGGGTCAATCCACACAAAATTGATATTTCAATTGTTTGATAGATACTGAAGAGTTAAATCACCAGATATGTCAAAATACCCGAACAATCTGATTGGATACAGGCATTGTTCAGGTGCTTTGACAGCCAGCGGGCCGACTAGCAAGATACTGATACTGAAGCTTGGCCCAGCGGGAGATTTCTCCATCCACACAGTTTAGAGTAGATGGAGTAATCTGTGGCACTTTTTCCATCTGACCATAGAAAGTCTGCAGATAATCTATAGGTGTATGGCCAGCTTTAAGGTGCCCATACACCTGCCGATTATCGTACGATAATTGCAGGTGATCCCATGATCGTACGATAATTGGCAGGTGTATGGGCAGCGTGCAACCTCTTCTACTGTAAGTTCGCACGACATTCGTCTTCCGAGCACGCCTGAAAACCTGCCGAAAAACGTAAGAATCGTACGATTATCGTAAGGTGTGTGGAAGCCGTGCGACCTCTACTACTGTAAGGTCGCACGACTTTAAACTTATGGACATGTTCGAAAACCCGCCGAGCATCGTACGATGTTCGGCGGGTGTGTAGCATGTTCGTAAGATAAAAGCCGGACGGGCCGGTGTGCGCAAGCGCACACTGCCCGTTTGGCATTGCGGTCATCGGAAGCCCGCCCCTCATCGTACTTACGATCATCGCAAGTACGATCTGCCTATGCAAGATAGGCAGATTGTACGTTTTTTTTAAGTACCTTACAACCATCGCGAAGTCTTGCGATGGTTGTAAGGTGTGTGCCCAGCCTTAGTCTAATATCTCTCAGGGACTCTGCTGCTGGGATCTATGCACTTGAGTTCCCATGTCTGCACACCTGCTGCATCAATCACAGGAGTCTCACTTTCCCTGTTGGTTTCTACGGCATGGAGATCTTACTGTTGGAGCATCCAAGACATAGGTGGGAATTTATCAAAACTGGAGCAAACTGAATCTGGAGCAGTTGCCCATGGCAACCAATCAGCATCTCTCTTCAGTTTGCCCAGGTAAGATTTGAAAATGAGAGAGAGAAGCTGATTGGCTGCAGTGCAAATCTACTCTAGATTTTGTCTGCTCCAGTTTTGATAAATTCCCCCCATATTGTTTTTCTCAAAACATAGTAAGTTCCATGATCCTGAAAAAAGTAGGTAAAGCATCCGGGGAAATCCTTTGTGACAAGACAAGGCCACCCCAATAAAACAATGCAAACAGATACTGTGTTGGCAGTGCCCATCTGATGTTTACGTTCAGGGACCATTTAGATCTATCCACATATGTTATGATGGTTTAGGCAGGTATGTTGTCATGCATCAACGTGAGTTTCCTGTATGCATTGACTTGCATTATTGATGTGTGTTGAAGTGTTTTTTTATGCATTTTTTAATGTAAGATTTGGAGCGGATAGAGCTAACAGCCATTGGCCAAGGTGATACCTGTTGCCAATGCATCAAACATTCATTTTGAATCGCCATTGACTTCTGTGGGCCTCCAAATGCACCAAAAAACACAGAGAAAAATGACATGTCGTATTTTTTTAAACACACTGCGCTGCAACCCTGAGATGAAAACAGACATTATTTTTCGAATGTCGTAGTTGGACAAATTTTTAGGGCGTTGCAATGCATGTCTTAAAACACAGCGTCAGTCATAATTGCAAGACATACCTTAAGATGCATATGGGGATTATAGCACGCTTCAGACATAGCTGTTCTGTGTCAGTCTCACTTTTGTCAATAATAAGGTGATCCTCGAGGGCTTGTTCACACCAAGCGCGTTCCAGGAGTAGTGACGAGCCCGCCAGGAAGCTGACAGCGCCGCAGCGCCAATCACAGGTAGTGAGACATTTCCCGATCTCTGCAGTTGCGGACCGGGATAATGTCTCAGTACCTGTGATTGGCGCTGTCAGCTTCCTGGCGGGCTCAGCACGTGGAGCTGCGAACACGCCCGAGCCCATCACTAGCCAGGAGCAGAGCAGTTACACACCGGATCAGAACTGCATCCAATGTATTCCAATGGTATTTTGGGCTCTGGTTCACACCGCAGCGTTCAGTTCCAGAGCATGTAACAAAAACTGCAGCAACCCCTATTTTACATGCTCTGGAATGCATGCAAACGCACTGGAACGCACTGAAAGCCCATTTTAGTTTTTTTTTAAACGGCCATGAACGCGGCAAAAAATGCAGCAAAACACACTGCACTGCGTGTGCAGAAACTCATGCAGATCTGGTCTGCATTTGGTGTGAACAAGCCCTGAATGATCCTGCTTGTGATGCTAGAACATACACTGCTGTCTCCTTGCTGCCTCTCATATACAGAAAGCTTGGTGCAAAAATGGAAGTACAAAGACATTAGTCACTCACCAATCAGATTCAAATCTCTTATGGAAGTTTAAATGTAACAGGTGGTGCAAGAAGCAGTGAGAGAGGAATTTACAAAGCAGTGTGTGTTCCTGGGTGCAATTAGGGTTGCCACCTTTTCTTCAAGCGAAACCCGAACACTCTAGCGAAGCGCAGACATTTTTGGGGACAAATGAATTGCGGGTTATTCATAAGTAAATAGCGTCACCCATTCATATGTAAATTTCACAGTCCAGACTATTTTCAGTGGGGGGCCAGCTAGCTCCTATCTTAATTTTGGTTGCCCCTGTCTGCCTGACATCTTGTGTCCGGGTATCTGCTGCCATGAAACCCGAACACAGCATTCAAAACCCGGACTGTCCGGGTGAATCCTGGACAGGTGGCAACCCTAGGTGCAATGGATTACAAATAACTCAGGTTAAGGTGACCTGAGTGAACTTTTTGAAGTAAGCACAGTTGCAGTTTTTGCGGGGTAGTAGCAACAACTACGTGATAGCTTTTCCTTGTTGTCTTGAATTAAAGAACTTTGGGCAAACAGAAAATTTAACCTTGCAGTGGGGCTACCCCTGCACTGCAAGGGTTGAGTGCCCATATTGTCTGGGGGGCTCAAATAAATCTGTCAATGGACCTGCATAAAGGTGCCAATATACCTTACGACCATCGCAAGACTTTTGTCTTGTGATGGTCGTAAGCTTATTGAAAGCTCGTACGATCTGCCCATCTTGGACGGGCAGATCGTACTTGCGATCATCGAAAGCCCACCCCGCTGAGGGGCGGGTTTCCGATGACCGCAGTGAGGGGCGGGCTTCCGATCACTGCAAACGGGCAGTGTGCGCGTGCGCACACCGGCCTGTTCGGCAGTTGTCGAATAAGCAGGCCACTAACTTACCGAGAATCGTACGATTCTCGGCGGGTTTTCAAGCCTGCTTGTTCAACGGAAGACGTGCGATCGTACAGTAGAAACGGTCGCACGCCTTCCATACACTGTACGATTCTCGTACGATCGCGGGATTTCCCGCGATTCTCGTACGAGAATCGTACAGTGTATGGGCACCTTTTAGACATGAGGACATTGCATACCCAAGGCAAAGGTGAGTGATGTCATTCCTGAGACCGAGGATCAGGTGAGTAATACAGCTTTATTTGACCCTCCTGGACAAAATGAGCACTTCACCCTTGCACTGCGGCGGTAGCCCCAGTGCAAGGATAAGTGTTTCTTAACCCAGAGCTCTTTTTATTATGTTATG